CATAAGCTTGAATGATCTTGCTTACATTATGTTTTGTACTTTGGGGGGCTTTTTGGATTTTTTTTTTCCTTTGGAGACAGGGTCTCGATATGCAGTTCAGGTTGGCCTTGAATTCACTAAGTATTTCCAGCTGGCCTCAAACTTGTGATGATCCTCCTGCTTCAGCCTCCCAAGTGCTGGGATTACAAGTGTACAGCACTAGGCCAAGTTTGAATGTTTTCGAGAAAAGGGAATGTAGCAGGAATTCCAAGAAGGAGAGTTGTTTACTTTGGTTTGATTCCAAATTAGTGGACCAGCCCTCTGAGAGAAACAGTGAGACTGATGAGAGGAGGGGGTCCCACATTCAAGCCAGAACGAGGTACAGCTTTACTGTCTCAAGTTTAGCTACTGACGGGGCCATAAGGTACCTTTCTGTTTTGGGGGACATAAAGAGTGCTATTCCCAGGTTTTGTCTTGGTTGCCCTGGGCTCCTCTGAACTTGATGGCTGTCTGCACAGAGCCAAGGAGAGAGGAATGAGATGCAGAACTCTTCTAAGTGATTTTGGTAACAGCTCCATGTGTATGTGTGCTGCTTTTCTGAACAGAGTTGATGCTAAGGATCACCACCACAAAATAGCTCTTTTGGATCTGGTAACAAACACCACGGAGTTCAAGGATCATTAATTTTTCTTCTGTCCAGAGAATGCATGGTGTCCAGAAATCTGCGGTTACCAAGGGAGCTAAGCACAGAGACCTGCCTCTGCCCTGAAGCGTGAAGGCTGCTGGCCAGCCCTCAGGCAGTGCAGGGACCTAGGGTGGTGAGAGAGAAAAAATTCAAAGGAGGTCGGTGAGAGGCCTGACATACGCTCTGGGAGATGAACCTGGAACAAGTCCAGAAACCTCTGTGGAGGGCCAATCCTGCAGAAAAAAGAAGAGATCCTACGGTACCCACGGTGGGGGTTACTGTGTCCTGGGGGAGGCCTCTCCCTTCTAGCATGAGTGCTCCTTGGGGCTCATAAACCTTTCGAATATTCATGTGATATCTTAGGCAGGTGGTCAGGTTAGTCATTGTGTTCATTCACCAACTGCCAACCAGGCTTGCCATGTACCCAGCAGGGTGTCAGGTACAGATGGCTCCATTCTGACAGATCACATCACAGAGACACACACAGTGTATGTGCTTGGGAAGTGAGGAGAGGTCGGGGTGAGCCTCCACTGGGATTTTCTTTGAGTGAACCATAAAGCATGGTTAGAATTTGAATAGGTGGAGCAGTGGTCTTGTTTGAACTAAAGTGTGGGGTGCTGGTATTAGAGGGCTGTGTAAGAGTCCCCTGTGCTGGTAGCTGCTCCTGAAGCCTAGGTCCAGAGAGCAGTAACTGCCACCTGTCCTTTGAAAACATCTGGTCTGGCCTGAGGAGCTTCTGGGTGTCCGCAAGCACCCCTTCAGGCAGCCTATTGGTGGTTTCCTATCTCTTGGCCCTGGGTGGGGATGGCAGGAGGAAAAATGTCCATCTTGGCAAGGTGCCTTAGGAGCCACCACTGACCTCTGCCTTCCCAGCATGCCTTGGAGTTCTCTGGAGTTTTCTGTTGCTGACCAGCTTGGGACTCTACTTTAGGGTTACCTGTGTTTTGAATGGATGGAAGGCCCGGAAGCCTGAGCAAGGTGACTGTTAAATAAAAAAACCTAGCTCGTTTTTGGAAAATGACATTGAGTGAGTCACTTCTCTGGGAAGCAGAAGCAGCAGGATGCAGGATGGGGACAGTATGAGAAAAGAAGTCCCCAGCATGGGATTCTTGGGCTATATGTTCCAGACCCAGCCACTTCATAATTCTCTCCAGACTGGGCCTGATCAAGACCCAGGCCTGCTCTGCATTCCAACTCCGGCTCCTTTCTGTCCCACCTGGGAGGCCTCGGAGGCCCCAGCTCCCTCTTCAGCCATATGCTGCCACCTCTGGCCCCAGCTCATCTCCCAGGGGACTTCTTTCCCTTCCGGCTACGGGAGCCTGGTTTGACTGCCCAGGGAAGATAGTATCTGACTGCCTCAGGGAGGGCTAACGGCATTGCTGGCTGAGCAGGGGCCTTCTTAGGTTCTTGCTGTAGACTGCACCCAAGCAGCTGAGGTATCTGAGTCCCTCAGGGGTAGGTGAGGAAGGGGGGACAGGGACCCCTCTCAACCAGGAGCTCACCTGGTGTAGCTCTCTCCTCCTGAGCCTTTGCTCTATCCCCTCTGCCACCCTTCACTCTTCCTCTCTTCTTTCTACAAGATGGGGCTGGGTGAGCATGGCAGCCCACTACCTAGTCCCCTGGCATGAGTAACCATCAGGCTTGAGGGAGATGGTAATGAGGGTGCAAGAAGGAGAGAAGGGATAGAATGGGCAAGACTGAAAAGCAAGGTGATGTTACCAGAGAGTGGGAGGTTAGGGTTCCAGGGGAGGGATGAGGAGCGGGGATGAGAGAGGCATCTCTGATCCCGGCTCTTCCCAGTGCTAGGAAGCACAGCATGCCCCTGTAGTCCTGGCTGGGAAAAAGAAAGGAAAATAATATTTATGCACAGACTCCTGTGTTCTTGCTCATTCACTCATTCAGTCCTCATGCTGACCCAGCAGGGTGGAAAGATGCATTGTGCTGTTCCTGCCTGCGGTGAGATGGTTCTCTCCCTGGTCCTCCTTGCTGGCTCCCACACACTTTCTCTACTAGGTCACCCCGCAGAAGGACTGGAGTGGACTTCCTGCTGCTGCTTGGTGTCCACAAGCCTAAATATGGCCTTGGAGGACAGAGGTTACCCCTTCTTTAACTCTAGCCAGTGTCCACTGAGGACCTACTGTGTAGGACACACAGCCTGATGCATTGTGATTCTAGACAGCAAGGAGAAATGATGGCCATGTGTCTTCCTTGTTTCCATCCCAGCTTTAGAGGGGGGTAGAACTTTAGGCAGGCTGGGGAGACAAGACACACAATTAAAAGGAGAAAAATAGTGAAATATGTGACTGGTGCCAAATGAGAGGAAACTGATTTGTGAGTTCATCCATTCATTCAAGAATCATTAATGAACCTCATATCTGGGCACCTTCCTAGGCATTTTAGGAGAGATACAGAGATTGGTTAATTATTCCGTGTTCATTGATCTTGTATTGTGTGCCAAATGCTGTTCTAGGTCTGGGGATAATGAGCAATGGACAAAACCAAATCCTTGCCTGCAGAGCATCTCCCACTGTGGTGCTGCACACAGTGTGCTTATCATCCCATGGAGTAGTCACCGTGAAGTCCAGGAAGGGAGGATGAGGGTGCTGAACTGGAGTCCAGGAAGAGAGAAGACTTGGGCTGGCTTCTGAGGAGTAGATAGGATTTGGAAAGATGGAATGTAAGAGTGAGGACATTGAGAGCAGAAACTCTGAGGACAAAAGACACATGGGCTTCCATCAAGGTGGAATCTGCTAGCTGAAGTGGCAGGTGTGTGTTCAGATGTAGGAAGCCAAACTGAGACAGGCTACGTTAAGACCAGATTACATAGCCATCCAATGCTAATGCACCATGATGGCCATTCCCAGAGTTCCAGACAGTGCCTTTCCTTCTGCTCTGCAGGTGGTGGTGGTGCTGAGAGCAGCGGACAGGGCCCCTGTTGAAGGGCTGCTCCCAGGATGTATGGTGAAGCTGCTGGCCTCAGATGTGGGTGGGCCACTTTGGGTTTCCCTAAGCCCTGTGTCAGCAAAGGTGTCACCCCAGGAAGCCAGTACTTGTTTGGATGGAGCCCTTTCGTGGGGCAGAAGTGTGTTGGCGCTAGACACCTACCCTCAACCAGAATGAGACTCATATCCCTTAAATAGCCACATGAACAAGGGTGAGGGCATCCTAGCCTTGCACTGTCCATTGTGGTCTACATCTGGTTCTCTTAAAGCCGAGAGTTTAAGATGGGATCCTTTTTTTTTTTTAATTTTTTTTTTTAAGATGGGATCCTTTGTGTTTGGCTTCTATCTCTTAAGTGGTAGCTCTTAGTGACACCAGTGTACATTCCTCTTCCTTTGTGCAAGCAGAAACCCCTTTCACCACTAGTGGATGATCTTGAAGAGGCTCCTTCACTGTTGAGCCTGTCTCCCCACTTGAATAATAATAGCCACTTCTCCCAAAGAGTGTGTGTGTGGGGGGGGGGGGTTGCACAGCACATGTACTGTTAAGATTATGATTAGTTGTGGTTGGTGGGGCTTGGAAGTTGCATTTCCTGACTTCACAGTGGGTGTTTTGCCAGGGAGCCTTTCCAGTGTCCCTGAGCCCCAGGTCCGTGGCATAGCAGTGGCTGCTCCTTTTAGAATCTAACCATGTTGGCTTGGATCTTGATCTAGTGGTGAGCCATAAACAGCCCAAGCACCCACGGCCTTGGCAGGGTGCTTCTGTCGTGGGCAAGAGGGCAGTGGAGAAGAGGCATCTATCCCTGCTGTCCTCACCAGGTCAGGTACAGGGCTGACTCAGAGGGGACTGGTAAACTGAGGAAGCCACCCTGGGAACAGGCTCTGCAGGCTCCAGGTGACCAGCCAGGGCTGGATATGGGCTCCAGGCATCACTTCTGAATCCTAGGACCTTGGAAAGAGCTGGAGGGTGGCAACTGAGAAGGCCTCCAAGGCCCTTTGGGCTGGAGGCTGAACGGAGTGGGCTTGTCTGCCCATGTGGTCCCCTCCTTTTAGGGGTGTGAAGAGGAGGGGTAGAGCCCAGCACAAACCATCACAGTGATGCCGCCCCAGGCTTGGGGAGGAGCATGTTTAGTGGGAAGGCACTGTGCTCTCATTCAGTCAGATGGTTCCGATTGAACCACGGTTCTGGAGTGCATATGAAGTTGAATCGAGCCCCTGGCACAGGTAAGTCAGGCCTGTGGACCTGAGAGCCGCAGGACCCTGGTGAGGATGAAGTGAGGAAACAGCCCTTTGAGGGTGCTTTGCTGTCATTGAGTCAACTTGAGGCTGATTAAATTGTGACCAAGTTCCTGCAGACTGGCCTTCTGCCTGACCCTGCTCTTCCTGTGTGTCCCCAGGCTACCCCTCTCCCTGTGCAGACACGCCGGATTCTCAGACTCAGCCAATGGACCTGCGGGTGGGCCAGCGGCCTGCAGTGGAGCCCCCGCCAGAGGCCCCACTTCTGGCCCTGCAGCACCCCCCGCGCCTGCACCGCCACCTCTTCCTAGCAGGCCTGCAGCAGCAGCAACAGCGCCCGGCCGAGCCCATGAGGGTAACTACAGAGCCCCCCATCCCCACCCCAGCCTTGGTCCTCCACTCTTGCCCTCTCTGAGCTGCACCCATCTGCCCACAGCTCTCCATGGACCCATCGATGCCCGAACTGCAGGGTGGGCAGCAGGAGCAAGAGCTGCGACAGCTTCTCAATAAGGACAAGAGCAAACGAAGTAAGGACACCCCACCTCTGTGCCCATCCTCAGATGTCCATGACCTGCCCCTGGGCCTGGGAGGGCGAGTTGAGAGTGTGGCAGCCCACTGCAATGCCCTCTGCTTGCCTAGCTCTGCCTGTGAGCAGAGGTGGGGGTGGATGTCCCGAGGTGTCCAGAGGCTTCACAGTCGCCTGAGGACCTGCTGGGTAGGACACTGCGTACTGGAGGGGGATGGCGGCCATGGGCAGAGTGTGCCAGGAGGCCACTTGTTCATCCACACCCAACCCACTCGTGACTTCTGCCTCTGCAGGCGCTGTAGCCAGCAGTGTGGTGAAGCAGAAACTGGCCGAGGTGATCCTGAAGAAACAGCAGGCAGCCCTGGAGAGGACAGCTCATACCAATAGCCCCAGCATTCCCTACAGGTGGTTACCTGTCCCCACATGTCCCTTGGGTCCTTCCCACATCCCCTCTTTCCTCTGTGTTACGTGGTGAGCACACATATACTTGCCTCCTTCCCCTCTCCATCACCCTCCATTTAAATAATGTACCCCAAGTGCCTCTCAACTGATACCTGTTCTCCTCTCCGTTAACCCACTTTCCCACCTCACCCCAAGGCCCTTCCACACACACTCACACACACCCCACACTGACCTTCTTGCACACCCAAGTCCCTTTTTTCCTTGTATCTTGCCCTAAGCACAGAAATATCCTGGATCCCACAGCAGAAGGTAAGATAGTCCTCATAGGCCGCTCACCTAAGCACCCACATTCTGGCCTCCATGCCTAGATCAGAGCTCTGTCTTGTGGCCATGGAGCAGCACTTGTGGTCCACTGCTGCCACCTGGAGATAGTCTCCATTCCTCCCAGCCTCACACTGCCCAGTCGTGTTGTACCTGCCTGCCTGGCAGATCCTGGAGCCCTGGCTTAGGAGGGTGCCTGTGCAGAGTGAGGTCTCTGTGGCCTTGGGTTGTCTGCCCCTCTAATCACTTTTGCACGTGCTCCACAGAACTCTTGAGCCCCTGGACACGGAAGGAGCTGCTCGCTCCATGCTTAGCAGCTTTCTGCCTCCCATTCCCAGCCTGCCCAGTGACCCCCCTGAACACTTCCCCCTACGTAAGACAGGTAAGCTGGGCACAGAGCCAGGTACCTTCCAGGAAATCTAGGAAAAGGATCTGGAATTTAGTTTGGGAGGAGGCCGGTGGCAGGGAGCGCCAAAGGTGCTGTGGCTTCCTCTCTGCTCTGCCATCTTTCACTTGTTACTGTGGAGATAACTGGAAGGAAAGCAGGGAAGGACCAAAAGGCTGAGAGAGAAGGGTGCTGGCCTAGGGCCTGAGTAACGCTGGGCTCCCACAGCCTCTGAGCCCAACCTGAAGCTGCGCTACAAACCTAAGAAATCCCTGGAGCGAAGGAAGAACCCGCTGCTCAGGAAGGAGAGTGCACCGTCCAGTCTCCGGCGGCGACCTGCAGAGCCTCTGGGAGGTAAGGGCCAGCAGGGCAGGTGGCCCTCCTAAACCCCAGCTGCCCCTGTCCCTTGGGCTCAGGCCTCACCATACAGGGTCCCCCCGCTTTGGGGCCTGTGTGTGTGTCACACAGGATGTGTTGCACACAAGTGCCAAGAGGGTGAGTGGGGAGAAAACCCAGCTCCTGCTTAGTTGGCTTAGCTGATATTTGCCCAGAAAAGGGGGCGTCTTTATAAAACTACCTCACGATGCTGTAGGCTAGTGGTGGCTGCCATCCTGCTCTGCAGGGAAGGAAGCAGGTGCTGCTGCCCCTGGGAATCCTGCGTAGGGGGCCTGGCTGAACCCTTCTGCCCACCCCAAGGCCCTGACTACCCTCCCTTTCTCCTCACCCCTCAGACTCCTCCCCCAGTAGTAGCAGCACGCCCGCCTCAGGGTGCAGCTCCCCCAATGACAGCGAGCATGGCCCCAACCCTGTCCTGGGCTCCGAGGTAAGGCCTTGCCAGTACAGACTCTGCTAGGGTAGTTGTGCAGCTCAGCCTCTTTCCAAAACAAAGGCCCACCCCAGCCTAGGGCCACAAGGTCTGGGCAGCCCCAGTAAGGGCCTTCCGGGTGTTCTGGGGAAGGTGTGCCAGGGGTTAGAGGTCTGGGACCAGTGACCGGTCGCCCTGCTCCCTATGGCAGGCGCTCTTGGGCCAGCGGCTGCGGCTGCAGGAGACTTCTCTGGCCCCATTCGCCTTGCCGACAGTGTCCTTGCTGCCCGCAATTACACTGGGACTGCCCGCCCCCGCCAGGGTGAGTGGCTTGGGCGTCCCTCCCCACTCCAGGCTCCTCAGCCTCTTTCACACCCTCATCCTGTTGCCTCATCCCATCCCCTCACTGTCCTCCGCTGGAATCTTCTCCCCTGTGACTTGTCCTTGCCTCTCCCTCAGGCGGACGGAGACCGCAGGACCCATCCGACTCTGGGCCCTCGGGGTTCAGTCCTGGGGAGCTCCCATACTCCCCTCTTCCTGCCCCATGGTCTGGATCCCGAGGCCGGGGGCACTCTGCCCTCTCGCCTGCAGCCCATTCTCCTCCTGGATCCCTCAGTCTCTCATGCCCCCCTGCTGACTGGTGAGCGCTGCTGCTTCTCATGGGAAGGGTCTGGATCCCTGAACCCTCCAAGGTCCAAGCCTGGGGAGGGAACCCATCCCTCCAGCCCCCTATCCTGTGCATCTCCCTGCTGAGCCCGGAGCCCATGCCCATGATTCCCTCCTTATGTCCCACTCCCATTCTTTCCAGTGCCCGGGCTTGGGCCCCTGCCCTTCCACTTTGCCCAGTCCTTACTCACCACCGAGCGGCTCTCTGGGTCAGGCCTCCACCGGCCACTGAGCCGGACCCGCTCGGAGCCCCTGCCCCCCAGCACCACCGCCCCCCCACTGCTGGGCCCCCTGCAGCCCTGCCTGGAGCAGCTCGAGCCTCACTTCCAGCTGATCAAGGTGAGTGGAATTGGGCAAGAGAGGTGCTGAGGGTGTTTAAGCAGAACCCCAGAGCTGACAGAAGGGGGACTTAGAGAAGGCAGGGACTTGGAAGGGCAAAAGAGAAGTGGAGTCCTAGCAAGATGGGCGGAGCTTGCTGGTCCTCCATCCCTTACCCCACCTGAACTTGCCCCACTGGGGCTTCTTAGCTTGACGTCACCCCTCCCCAGAGAACAGCCAAGTCAAGTGAGAAGCCCCGGCTACAGCAGATACCCTCGGCTGAGGACCTGGAGACAGATGGCGGGGGAGCCGGCCAGGTGGTAGATGGCAGCCTGGAACACAGGGAGTCGAGCCATAGGCAGCCTGAGGCCAGGGGCCCTGTTCCTCTTCAGCAGCACCAGCAGGTACAGCTGTGCCTGGGTGCCCCTCAGATCTACAGCCTGGCATTAGATGCGAAAGGGAGAGAGAGGATCAGTGTGGGGTCAGCTCTGGGACCGGTAGTAGCCCCATCAGATCCTTGGTGCTACAGTCACATCAAGGATGGTTGCAGGCACACGGATGGTGAGCAGGCACACGGAAACACACACGTATGTACACACATCTCCCTCCACATTGCATACACGCTTGTACACACATTGAGTCCAGCAGTCTACCAGTCTCAGTGTGGAGCCGTGTTCCTTTTTGAGCAATGAGGCTGGCATCTCATGGCACCATTCTCACTCCTACCCTCATACTTCTGCCTGGGACCAATTGTCTCGTATCCAGGATTATGGCTGAGACTCGTTGGGGAAGAGCCAGGCTCCTGGACTTGAAGCAGTGCTCACACCGTGTGGATCAAACCATGGTGCCCTTGTTGCTAAGGCTGCTGCACTAAACACTACAGATGGGTGCCTTGTCCACTAGGAAATTATCATTTTGCAGTTTTGGAAGCTGAAGTCTGAAATCAAGGTGTTGAGGGCCATAAGGGAAAGAGATGTTCCAAAGTTTTCTGTTTGGCCTGTAGATAGTCATCTTCTCCCTGTGTCTGCACACATCTTCCCATAGCCTGCTTCTCTGTTCAGATTTCCTCTTTTTATAAAGACAACAGTCCTGTTATATTAGGGGCACCCTAATCACCTCATTTTAACTTGATTACCTCAACAAAGACCCTAGGGCCAAATAAAATCATTTTCTGAAGTATAGGGGGTTGGGACTTCAGCACGGGCTGGGTCACACTTCCATTTATAAAACAGATGGTAACAGTGCACAAAATGTACAATGGCTCATGCAGGTCCCTGTGTTCGTGGGGGGGGGGGTAACACAGTCCTTGGGGATGCAGACATCCTGGTCAGAGTGAACCCAAGGGCCCAGGAGCTCTGATGGAAGTGGATGGGCAGTCTGGGGTGCAGGTTTTCAGGAGGGCTGCTGGGGCCTTAAATTCAAAGGCCACAGCCCAGGTGGGAAGCAGGGCTTGATATCTGCTGGGGCCTCACTGGGAAAAGGCCCACTTTGAGGTTCCCAAGACCCAGGAGCAGATGGAACAAATCCGAGGAGACTGAGGCCATTTCTATCTTCCTCAGGTGTTGCTCTGGGAGCGGCAGCGTCTGTCTGGGCGGCTGCCCCGAGGGAGCCCTGGGGACTCTGTGCTGCTCCCCCTGGCCCAGGGCGGACACCGGCTCTTGTCTAGGACTCAGTCCTCCCCTGCTGCACCTGCCTCACTACCAACTCCAGAGCCCACTTGCCAGCCCCGGGTCCTCTCCAGCTCCGAAGCCCCTGCCAAGACCCTGCCCTTTATCACAGGTAAGACCAGGGTTAGGCTGGTGGTAGGAGGAGAGTGAGTCTGTTTTTCTTCATGGTAGCACTGGGACCTTTGCAGAGGTCTTGTTAGAGATCCAGTCGTGCTGGATCCCACAGTACCCCAGAAAGCAGTTGGAGAGGTGGTTATTGTTTTCCAGGTGAGCACACCAAGGCTTGGGGAATCTAAGCTGGCAAGCCCAGTCAATAGTCAAATAGTAAATTGGCAGTCAGGCTAGGGTAAGAAGTTCTAGTCTTTTGCCATCATGTCCAGCCCTGTTTTATTTTTTTGAAAAATTGTTATGGTTGCTGTGCTTGTAAAAAAAATCTCAAAAATATTTCAGGAAGATTAAACATACAGAAAAACATGAAAATAAAATAAAAATCACCAACCAGTATCTCATTGCCCAGAGACCCTGTGAAGTTCAGTCTGCTCCAGCCACATGCACCATACAAATGACATAATCACATGGACTACATTTTGTTCCCTGCTTAATTTAGTTAGCCTATCACAAGGACTTTTTGATATAATTAATCTTTTTTTTTTTTTTTTTTGGTGCCGGGGATCGAACTCATGACCATGCATTTGCAAGGCAGGTACTTATGCCGCTGGGCTAAATCCCCACCAATACAATTAAGTTTTAAAACTGAGATTCCTATATTTTATTGTAGTATTTTATTTTTACTTCATAATAGCTAGACATCTAGTTGCTCCCTGTCCCGCCCCCACCCCTTGTATATGCATAAGCCTTTACGCATGCCTGGGATTATTTCCTGAGGGTCACTCTCAGGGAGTGACTTTCCTGGGTCAGATGGTGTGAGCATTTTGAAGGTCTTTGGTGTCCTGAGATATGCAGACACTACTCTACCCACAGAAGTGTGCATGGCCAGTCTCTAGAGGCAGTCTAGGGGCACCTGACACATGGCCCTTGGCACCTACAGTGTTAGCACCCTACCCACCCCCCACCCCACAAGGACACCAAACTCCTCAGATGCTCAAGTCCCTTATGTAAAATGGTCTACAATTTGCATACAACCTGTGCACATCTGTGTATGTGTGCACGTGCGTGTGGGTGGTGCTAGAGCCCAAACCTAGGACGTTGCACAAGCGAGGCAAGGGCTTTACCACTGAGCATTCTCCCCAGCCCCTATCCATATGCTTTAAATCATTTCTAGTTACTTATAGTACCTAATATGATATAAGTGCTATATATGTAGCCATTGTAATATATTGTTTAGGGAATAACGACAAGGGAAAGGAGTCTATACATTCAGTACCAACAAACCTTTGTCCTGGGTATTTTCAGTTCACAGTTAGGAGAGACAGCTATAGTCACTGTGCAGAGCTCTATTTGTCTTATCACTGGCCCAGTCATTGTGGGCTTGCCTGCTCCCAGTTTTGGGGTTCCCTAAGAGTTCTGACTCCACTCACTTCCACTTGGTAGCCTCTGGGATTGTGACACCAAGACAGAGGTGCTGGTGTTGGGTCTTGATCTTAATCAGGGCAGGGGAGAAGTGCTGTCCTCTGGAGCCATCAGCAAGCGGTGGCCACGAGGTGGCCATGTTGGCTGTGGCAGTGCTGGTGTGTGTAGCAGGCCGAGGGTACCTGAGCAAATGTCCAGGTGGGCATGTAAAGGAGTGCCAGGCTGGTCTTAGTAGAGAGGAAGTGGGGGGACACAGGCCTGTGTGGGACAAGGCACATTCCAGGCCTGGTTCCTGGAGCATCTGTGTGGGTATAGACCTGGTGAGGGTCCCCTGGGGTCCTGCCCTTACCCTTGTACCTGGCAGGGCTGGTCTATGATTCCGTAATGCTGAAGCACCAGTGCTCCTGCGGAGACAACAGCCGGCACCCGGAGCATGCTGGCCGCATCCAGAGCATCTGGTCCCGGCTGCAAGAGCGAGGCCTCCGGAGCCAGTGTGAGGTGAGGGCTGTGGTGGGGACTGCGGCATCAAGGCATTAAGGTAGTGGAAGGGAGGGTGGGAAGTCCAGGGGGCAGTGAGAGACGGAGGCAAGAGGGAGCAGGGGCTTAGGAGGTCTGTGAATCCTTGTTTCCTCAGTGTCTCCGGGGCCGGAAGGCCTCCCTAGAGGAGCTTCAGTCAGTCCACTCTGAGCGGCACATGCTTCTATATGGCACCAACCCACTCAGCCGCCTTAAACTGGACAACGAGAAGCTGTCAGGTAGGGGAGGGGTAGTGGCTGGCCTGCGTCTCCCAGAGCTCCCCCGTCTCCCCCAGCCCTGTGCTGTCTTGGCTCAGCCCTGCCCAGCTGGCCCCTCCATCCTGTTGGATAGCCCCTCTTCAGCTTGCTGCCCTCGTCCCTCTGATGCCCATGCCCACTTCCCTGCACTGTTTCTTTCCCTTCACCCCCACCTGGCCCTCTCCCCAGAGCCCCCCTGCCCCTGGCCAGACCAGAGGCTAAGAGCATCCACACTCATGTGAGCTGGGCCTCTCCCCACAGAGCTCCTGGCACAGCGGATGTTTGTGATGCTGCCCTGTGGTGGGGTTGGGGTAAGTGTGCCCAGGGGTCTCCAGCGGGCATGGCCAAGAGCTCTCAGCTCTCCTCCTTTTGGTTCTCCCAGGCCCAGCCCCGCCTGCCTGCCTGTTCTTATGGTTCTATAGACCAGGCAGGCCAGGGACTTTCCTGCCATGCCCTCTGCTGGCTGGAAGTTCCTTGTGGACAGGTGTGTCGGGGCCCATCGGTGTCCCAGAGCATGGAGCCCCAAGCCTCGCACTTACAAAGTGCTTGGTAGATGTTCAGTGAAGTTCAAAGAGCAGGACCAAGACTGGAGCTTGGGATTATGTCCTCCATAAGACCCCTGTAGTCAGGCCTCGGCCCTTCCATGCTGGCCCCAAGCTGCTTTGCCTGCTCCGGAGTGGGCCTGGTCCCAGACCTTGGACTGCCTGTCGTGGTACCAAGGTGGTGCTTCCTGTGTCCTTAGAGATCCAGACACTTCCCTGCGCAGCCTTCTGCCCCCCAGCTTTGCTTCCTCACTCCTCGCTGGTTGGGGGGCTTGCTCATTCTCTGGCACGGCTCCTGCCTGAGGAGGACCCTCCAGGGTATGATCATGGTGTGTGGAAGCAGGGGATGGAGGCTGAGCTCAGGCAGGAAAGTGGGAGCTCTAGTGGGGGGCTGTTGGGAGCCAGTCAGTGCCCTATTCACAACTCCCCATTTCTTGCCACTTTCTGGTTTTTCCAACTGTTGTTGCTTCTGTTTTCTCCTCCCTCCTCTCCCTCTCTGTCCTCTCTCTCTCTCTCTCCAGCCTCTTGCGACTCTCTCTGCCTTCCTCGCCTCTCTTGGTCCGCCTCGCCCTCCCCATCTCCCCATCATGCCCCCCGGCCCCTCCCTAGCCTTGAGGCCCAGGGACTGGGTTTGGGGGGCCTCCCAGCCTGGGCTAGGGGCCCTGAGTGGAAGACAGTGGTGCAGACGGCCCCTCCAGCTCCGACCATCCCGCAGGGCCTGAGCAGACTCAGCTGGGGCTTAAAACCCCCTCCAGGCCCAAACCCCAATCCCGCCCAGGTAACGCCATGCCCCCTCCCCCGAGTGGGGAGGCTGGTGTGATGCTGCCGGCAGAGTGCTGGCTGCAGATGGGCTGGTGCTGGGACTTACACTGGGAAGGAGCAGTCCTGTGGGGCTTGGGGGACAGGAGGCCTTGCCTTTGGGCGGTGGGGCACTGGGGAGGCAGCACCGTCTGCCCAGCTCCCTGCCCCTGGGGTCCTGGCCAAGGAGTGGTTACTGCCCACTGGTTGCTGACTCCTGTGGGAAGCCTTGGATGATGCGGGCTCTGACTCTGGCCCCCACAGGTGGATACTGACACCATCTGGAATGAGCTGCATTCTTCCAATGCAGCCCGTTGGGCTGCTGGCAGTGTCACTGACCTCGCCTTCAAAGTGGCTTCCCGAGAGCTCAAGGTAGGGAGTTGGATTGAAGGCAGGCAGAACATGGAGGCTGCACAGGATAGGGCAGTGGGTCCAGGCCCTGAACACGGCCCCCATTCTTCTTAGGTACTGCTACAGGGTTTGGAAAGGGAAATCAAAGGCTCTGGGGACCAGGATGAGATTTGAGCCCTAGGGAATCCAGCTACCTATGTCCCTGGACCACTGATCTCTTAGAGGCACCAGGCCCCGAGCATCCAGATCATTTAAGTCCTTTGTTGGCTGTAGGCAAATTGGTTTGTGTCTCTGAACCTTGTGCATCAGTTGTCAGTTCTTTCCCAATCACTTGGACAGGATTTGTGCCAAACTTGTGCACTCTGTGCTCTGGGCTGTGTGCTTATGGGAACTTGTTGTCCGGTGCTCACACACACACGCGCACACACACACACACACACACACACACACACACACACGCAGTGCCTAGGGCCTCGTAGCCCCAGGTGGTCACCATATCCTCAGTGTCAGTGCTCCTTGGCAGAGCCTTGCAATTAAGAGCACAGCCTTGTTTTAAAATCCTGGCTTCGTTTTTCACAAGCAGGCATTTGGGGTCCAAGTTGCTAAATCACCTAAATTTTGAATTTCTCCTCATCTGTAACCTGGAGATGAGAGTAGTGCTTGTCTTATGGAAACATATAAGCGTGATATCCCCCATTTAAAGTGCTTGGCTCAGGCCAAGCCCATGGTCCTTAGGTAACCGCCAGTAACTGTCATTGCAAAGTGATTATAGCTAGGACACACCAGAGAGGGGCTCTGTGTTTAAGTTTAGCCTAAAAGAAGTGAAGACCCAGCCTGGGAGCTGTGTGGTTACCACACAGACATGCTGGCAGCTGGTCACAGGCTCAGGCAGACATGGGTCAAGAGCTGGCTATTAGGTTAATAAGTATTCTTTTGCTTTCCAGAACGGTTTTGCTGTGGTGCGGCCCCCAGGACACCATGCAGATCATTCCACGGCCATGTAAGGCCTGTGGGAGGCGTGGGTAGAGTGAGGTGGAGACAGGTCCCCAAGGTCTTGCTGTAGGCTAGGGCAAGCCAGGGGCTGGAGGGAGAGGAGGTTGGATCTGCAGGGGCATTGGGAGAGGATGGGCTGGCAGAATCCTCTCTTCTCCTAGGGGCTTCTGCTTCTTCAACTCGGTAGCCATTGCCTGCCGTCAGCTGCAACAACAAGGCAAGGCCAGCAAGATCCTCATTGTAGACTGGGTAGGTCCTGCTTCCTGGTGCACTCCGATCTGAGGACTCTGTGAAAAGAGCTCTGGGCCTGGTATCCGAGATACTTCTCCATGTCTATTTTGTGCATTATTTCCCTGAGCCTCAGTTTTCCATTGTGCAAAAGTTGATAGCATGCATATCACAGAGCTGTTGGGAGTTCCAGAGGAGGCTGTGTGGGGGACTCCACAAGTGCCCTCCAAGGACTCCCACAATGGGTAGGAGCTTTTATTCTGAGCCTTGCCTTTTGACTTTTGTTTATCACTTTTGCATTTCCCTTACATATTGGTGCTCAGGACCAGGCAGTTAATGACTCCACGTGGTTCTAGGAACCATAATTTCTTGCCCTCAGTGTAAGGTCCTGAGCCTCAGAATTGTCACCAACTTTGAAACCCTTCCAACATGTCCTGGCTTCCATCTCTGCTTTTGGATCTTCCCTAACTCACTGGCTCCACCCTGCACAGGATGTTCACCATGGCAATGGCACCCAGCAGACCTTCTACCAGGACCCCAGTGTGCTGTACATCTCCCTGCATCGCCACGATGATGGCAACTTCTTCCCCGGCAGTGGGGCTGTGGAAGAGGTAACTACCTGTCAGGGCTATGTTACCGGCCCTGTTGACTGGCTAACATTCACTCTGCCTACTCACCAGCTCAGCCATCCTGGGGAAACTGCTTAGTCTCTCCCATCCTGTTTCTCCACCTGGAAGTGGGATGGAAACTGGATAAGCTGGTTGTTCCATAGGGCTCTGCTTTCCTCATGTCCCTCTGGCATCTGCTGTTCTAGGTCGGAGCTGGCAGTGGTGAGGGCTTCAATGTCAATGTGGCCTGGGCTGGAGGCCTGGAGCCTCCCATGGGGGATCCCGAGTATCTGGCTGCATTCAGGTAAGGCTCCAGCCCAGTCCTGCCCTTTTCCCTACAGCACCAGATTGGGGGTGACCAGTGGGCTCGCCATCCTTTTCTCGCCTAATTAGTCGACCTGGTAAGTCAGCCTCAAAGGGAAGATAGGACCCATAAGAACAGGATCATTTATAAAGTGACGTATGACCAACAGCCCATGTCAGAGAGTGCTGGGAAGCATTAGAATGGAGTCAGCAGGATGGCCATGGTTAGTCACCTGAAGCAAGAAAGAGAAACGTCAGCTGTCCTTAAATAATGTCCACATTGGGGAGGTTACTTTGAAAGAAGGCTCCGGACTCTGAACAGGAGCCCTTTCCTACTTTACTCTGGTCTTTGCACTGCATTTGGAAAAGGAAGCCCTGAAGCAAAACTGAAAACCCTTTTCTGGAGATATTCTCCATGAGAGCTGTGAGACCCTGGACAAGAGTTCCTGCATCTGTGTATTGAACCCAAGGCTTTGAAGTTCACCAAGGTGGGCCCTAGAATTGGGTCAAGGCTAGAGAGAGAGGTAACTGTTGGGGACCTTCAGGGTAAGGGAAAGGATGAGGGAATGGAACTTGGAGGCCCAGGACCTCAGGGGGTCTGGTGGGCCTGGTCAGCTGTTTGGTGGCAAATAATGAGGTGAGCCAAGCATTCCAATCCCTGAGGCTTAGTCAAGAGGTACTAGCTTAGTTGGTTATCATATTGCCTCTTCCCCTATAGCTGCACACACACGCAGACACGCACACATGCAGTCCTCTTTGTCCCCTCTGATGCCCCATCCTTGGCTGCTTTCTGCCTCTTGCTGGCTAAATTCCTTGGGTAGCAGAATCCTCAGGCAAGGACATGAGTGGCCATCCAAGATCCAGGAAGTCAGGGGGATCCACTGACTCCTACTGGTAGACTGAATGGCTTGGAATCCTAAGGGTAGGGTGTCCTCAGCAAAATTGGCAGGAACCGTGTGGCACAGACCTGGGCTCTATCCAGCAGCTCTGCACCGTGTGCTGTGCTGAGTGTGGTGAGTCCTCTCTTCTTGCAATCTTCTAGGATAGTCGTGATGCCCATCGCCCAAGAATTCTCTCCAGATCTGGTCCTGGTATCAGCTGGGTTTGATGCTGCTGAGGGTCACCCAGCCCCTCTGGGTGGCTACCATGTCTCTGCCAAATGTAAGGGGGCCCCAGCAGAGGGAGAGGTGTGGGCAGTGTGAACCAGGCTATGGGGTGTAGGCAGGTGCCACTCAAGTCTAAAAGCAGTGGCCAGCCTAGGGTTGTGTGAGGACTAGAGTGGCAGCTGGAGTCCCTGTGATCTAGACTGGCATAGTACAGGCCCACGACAGTTCTCCACCCAGGGCATAACCAAATCAGATCCCTGGGAACTTACATGCAACAAATGGAAGCTCTGCCACCCAACTGCCCAGCCGACTGTGTAGTTCCCGGGCTGTACAGGGTGCTCCTCCAGATGGGGAGCAGAGAGGAGCAGCATTCTCTGAACAGTGGGTTACTGAGCTGGGCACAGAGAAGAGATGGGGGAGCCCAGTGAAGTATTACAGTGGTGTCCATGTCCTGGGTGCAAGACCCCACCCTGCCCCTTCCAGCTGGGGGCCTTTGCAGGTCCCTTAACCTCTGTGAGCTTTGAGTGAGGAACACTAGTGGGATTCCATGTGAGAGCATGTAGCCTCTGAGTAATGCATGACTGATAAGGGAGGAAGCAAGGAGGAAAACCACAGAGCTAGGGATTGGGTCCACCTCTCCCGCACCCCCACATGGTCCTATTTCTTCCCCCACTCCAACCTTCTAGGTTTTGGGTACATGACACAGCAGCTGATGAACTTGGCAGGAGGCGCTGTGGTGCTAGCCTTGGAGGGTGGCCATGACCTCACAGCCATCTGCGATGCCTCCGAGGCTTGTGTGGCTGCTCTTTTGGGCAACAAGGTAAATTGCTTCCACCTGCCGTCATTGTTTCTATGAAGCAAGTGAACCTGGCTGTCACGGGACTGCCCCAGCAGTAAGCAGAGGGGATGGGATGGGACAGGAGAACGAAGTAGGCCCGGATCAGATCCATACCTCGTCTCCTGAGCTGTGCCTGCCACACAGAGCCAGAAGCACATGGCTGTTCATGTTAAGAAGTCCGAGGTCCTTGCTGGAGACAGAGCTGGGCCTGTGGTTCCCTGGGGGATGTTAACTAATGGACGACTATTTTTTGTAGGTGGATCCCCTTTCAGAAGAAAGCTGGAAACAGAAACCCAACCTCAATGCCATCCGTTCCCTGGAAGCTGTGATCCGGGTGCACAGTGAGTTTACAGATAAGCCGCTGCTGGGCCCAAACGTTGGAGAACCTCAGGGTGACCCCTGGTGACCAGCTTCCAGGAATGCTAATACCAGTCCTGGCCACAGGGTGCTTGGGATCTCTGCTTGCTTAGGGGCTGGGTATTAAGATACCCCCACCTGCCAATTTGGAAAGCATTTTAAAGTTTCAGCTTCAAATAGTAAGACCCATGGGATCTAGGGATACAAAAATGAATGAGATTCCCCACATCAAGAGCTTGGTTGGAGAAGTGAACGTAACAGTGCAGACAAAACTGGCTGTTGATGGAGCCCTCCTGTGGGCCAGGATCTGTGCTTTGAGTACAGCAACAGCAGGATGACACTGTGTCGTCTGACACTGGCAGATGTGTGACACTGGGCCCCAGGGGTGTGTTCCTGCCACCTCTACACTCCCCTTTCTTAGCCAGGGTCAGGGCACTAGTGGGGGCCACATGAGTGGGACCCTGTGTCCCACAGGGTATGTGTGGTAACTGACAAAGACCCGCCCAGGGGCAATGGGCCCTGCTGGCATTCTCAGGATCGCAGCATATTTAGGAACTGGTCATAAGTGGGCTTTCAACCAAAGGACCAGGCTCAAGCACCTGCCAAGACCCCTTTAGCCACACTGAACCTGCTCCACTGACCCTTCAGGGTTTGTGGTCAGGGTTATTATATTGAGAGGGGTAGGAGGGAAAGCTGACCCCAGGCTGAGGATGCACTCCTTACTCTGGGTGAAAGGTGGATGGGCTTGTTCTCCCAAATTTTCTCACCCAGCTTCTTGCTTCAGGTAAATATTGGGGCTGCATGCAGCGCCTAGCCTCCTCTCCGAACCTCTGGGTGCCCAGGGTACCAGGGGCTGATGCAGAAGAAGTAGAGGCTGTGACCGCACTGGCATCCCTCTCTGTGGGCATCCTGGCTGAAGATAGGTAATGCCAGACCCTGGACCGCTCCATGGCCTCTCTTCCCGCTTAAATCCTCCCTACTTGAAGAAGCTCCTGGAGCCCTCATGCGGCCAGTCTGAGCCACTCTGATGGTAGCTCCACCAAAACCTAGCTGCAAGTCTTCTACCCTTGTCTCTCCCCTAGGCCCTCAGAGCAACTGGTGGAAGAGGAAGAACCGATGAATCTCTAAGACCTTGGGATGGATTAGCCCGCCCACCTTGTCCTTCTGACATGGCTCTGGCTCTCTGAGGCTCTACTACTGGTCCCATTCCTGGGTCTTCAGAGATCATGTGGGCAGGTAGTTGGGACCAGACAACAGCCTGCCTTACAGTCACTCTACCCAGGGAGCTTGAGAAGGTCCCTGGGTCCAGGATGCGGACCAGATAGGACCCTGAGAAGAGGCAGGCTGGGTACCAGCCCCAGCAGGGCCCACTCAAGAACAGAGGGAGCCCCCCTGGTATCTGGGCCCCCGGCTGTGGCCTCCATCCCTCAGGACTGCACAGAGGAGGGCTGGCTTAGGTGGACCTAGCCTTAACCACTATTCTTGGCTCTGCAGACCCCAGACTTTGCACACAGCCCCAGGCTCCATGCAGAAATGTGAACTTGGCCTCAGCAAGGGTGGCCCTTCCTAGGTTCTGCAGGGTAGCTCAGAGGGCAGGAGGTCCCCTATTTCTGAGTGCTGAGGGGATGACAGCCCCCACCCCATGCCTTTGGAAGCTTCCTGCACCACTGGGTACCAAGAGCCAGATACACTCCTGAGAGTGCAAACTTCCCGTCTGATTGCTGCCCCAACTAGAGGCCAGCCTATGTCAACCATCTCAGTTCCCTGGTGGAGCAGACAGGTGCTCTCAGAGTCCTGTTCTTCCTGATCCGATGGTGGCAAGCCTTTATCTCCCCTCAGAAGCACAGCAAGACCCCCAGGATTCCCTCAGTGACCACCCCCCCCCATGAGCCTTCTGTTTTCTGGGGTCTCCTCCACCCTGCTCTGTCCTGCCCCACATAGGACTAGCATGGCCGAGGGGGAAGAGGGTGGGAGAGTAGACACAGACATAGGGGAGGGGAGACTGCCCTGGCAGAGTTTTCAAGGTTTTTGGGGTCCCTGCCTGGGGCCAAGAAGGATAGTATTTGTGTGTGTGAATGTGAATGAGAGACTGTGTGTGTGTGTGTATGTGTGTGTGTGTGTGTCTTCCCCAGGACCCACCATACCTTGTGTATGTATGCATGTTTTTGTAAAAAAGAAAAAATGGAAAAAAAATCTGAACAGTAAATGTTTTATTTGCTTTAATGTCTTGTGAAAGGGCCTCTTGAATATGAGCAGTGCGCCATCAGAGTCTGGGCCCAAGCACAAGGCTGTCGGATGGGGCTCAGGGCCTTTTCTAGCCTTGCCCTTGCATGCATGGCTACCCCTCCTTGGGGGAAGCAAAGGGGGACAATTCTGGGCATGGAGCCTGCCTGGGGACCCAGGTGCCAATACCCAGCTGGCCAAGCCGCCCCCCCCCCCCCCCCCGCCACGGGCTCCTGAAGGAGACACACCTGGGTTTAAAGTCGCAGCTGTCAGCTCAGCTAAGTCATATCGCCTCTTGGGGCCTCTGTTTATCAGTAAAAGGTGCCAGAATTAGACACTTTCTGGTTCCTTCCTGCTCAAATGCAGACTTAAGCATATACTGAACTACGAAGAGAGAATGGGCGATGCAACAAGCTGGGACAAGTGCAGGCAGGGTCACCAGCGGGAGCCCCAACACCATCAGCACCTGTTTTTCTGGCCCCAAGCCCTGAGTAGCCTGGCAGGAGTGGAAGAAGTGCTCACCCTTTCCCCATCTGCCCCAGCCTTAGAGGTGGAGAGTAAACTGCAGGGGCTCCAGGGGCCATGTTTTGGGCATCCATGTCTAGCTGGGGCTGGGGTGGAGGGGTGGGCAGGGGGTGCCTGCAGAGAGGGCTGAGTTCCTGGGTTCTCCAGTACCCAGAAGGACTAGCGTGAAAGACCCTGAGCTGGAGGACCCAGCCCTGCCCTACTGGTGCCCCCCAGGACACAGCTTTGGGAACTCTCACAGCCAGAGACACCCCACCACCCCTCCCTGCCCATCACTCCCACAGCAATCTGGTCCTGCCCACCCACAAGAAACCATCAGAGATGTCAGATACAAATGACTGCTGTATTTCTGCTGAAGTGACAGTGACATGGGTAAGGAAAAGAACCGGGAGCAGGACACATCAGATGGAAAAGGAGTGGACGTGCAGAATGGCAACCTAATATGGAAGATCCACATATATGGAGCCCTTCCTCCAAGGGGGGCAAGCTGGTGAGCCAGTGCATGGGCAGAAAAGCAGTCCCTCATAAGGGGCCGTTAGGAGAGGGCAGCTCGGTCAGAGGGCAGTCAGTAGGGGGGGAGTGGGATGACTGGTGCCTGGGGCAGTGAGGAGGCACAGGGCTGGCAGCGAAGGAGTGCCCATAGGGCTCCTGGGGGCAGATGCACAGAGCCCTTAGTGCCCTCAGCCTAGTGCTCTAGGCTGTGTAGACATATGTGACAGGAATGGCCGCTGGCCAGAGCACACACTCAAGGGAGACCAGCTCTGGTGGAAGAGTGGGGACAGGGGCACTGAACTCTCGACTCAACCCCCAGGCCTTAAGGAATGTCATCTCCTTCAGACTGATGCCATCCACCACCTGACCATCCCCCCAGAGATAACAGGTTGGGGATGCTGGGGCCTGGGACCAGGGGGTCTCTTAACAGGTTTATCAGTGGACCTGGGCTCCCAGCCTCAGCAAGGGCCTGGGCCAGCAGGGAGCAAACCACCTGCTCTAGCACAGGTCGAGGACTTGCAGTCCGACCCCTGAACCCTGTGATTTTGTTGACCAAGCCCTACTTACAAAGATTCCACTGAGTGCTAAGAAAATAGATCCATTTGGAAAGGGCTGAAGCTGCCCTTCAGCCAGGCCAGTGGGCAACACAGAAGGACACCTTTCCACTGCACCCCATAGGGGACCAACGAGATTCCTGGGAAGCCACGCTGATCCTGCTGTGTATCTTCTGCCACAGTTCTGCTGTCCCCAGGGGCTGCAGACAGGGCTGCCCCAGGTCTCAGAGGCTGAGTTCAGGTCCGTAGGGCCCCCAGGTCACAGTGACCTTGCTCCCTGGGTCAGAAGTCACTCAGGATACTGATGTCAGCAAAATCGGCCCGGTAGCGGTGGGCATACAGGCTGAGCAGGAAGGCCCACTTGAAGGAAATGAAGCTCCAGACACAGGAAAGGTAGTAGCTGGTGGGGTCTGTGAAACCTGCAGTGGAAGAAGAGCCCCATGGTGAACTCGAGGACCCTACCACAGCCAACCCCAACATCCCTGCACCCACCCCACCACCCAATCCCTGTAGAAGAATCAGAGTGCTGGAGGTCAAGGAATTCGGGGATGTGCAGATGGGAGCTGTAGGCATGAGAGAAGGGCAGGGCTGGACAGTCGCAGGTGTGTTTCATCCAGGCAGCTTGAGTGATAGTACTCTAAGCCGCTCACAACCTGCTTGGAGGGAGCCTCTAGCTACTTCCAGTCACAGCCACTAGAGGGCACCCCCCCCTCCCAGAGCTGGCTCACTGGGGCAGCTTGTACAGGCTACACACATGCCCAACACATCACACTAGTCCCGCTGACTCCTCCCATTCCAGAGGGCTGGGGACTGTCATTCTCCCCACTTTAATCTAAGGAAACACAGGAATGGAGGAGTTCAGTGAGCCGTTCTCCAGGATGTCAGGTGAGGACAGGACTGGAAGTACGGCTCCTACCACCTCCCCACCCTCTGCCCTCCTGGGAGGCCGTCCTCACTCTGGTGCTGGGTGATGGCCAACGTGAGGAAGGTGCAGAAGGCAGCAACAGAGATAGCTGAGAAGAGCACGCCCACGAAGAAGAAGCCACGCAGCCCCTTGAGCCAAGTCCTCCAGTAATCCTGCATGTACATCACGTGCGTCACCAGGGCCCACAGCGCCAGCACACCTGAGGGAACAGATGTGTTAGAAGGACCCAGACAGCCAACCACCATGCTGAAACACCCACCCCCTTTCAAGTCACCTGGGATCCCAGGAACCTTCAAGCCACTGGGCCACACCTATTTGCATAACACCAAGAGGTTAGCCATTGTCCCTCCTGTCCTCCTGACAGTGAGGTTTTCCCTGGAGTGTGATGTCACCACTTGACTTGGGCCCCTCAATTCCTGGGCTCCTTCTCTGCCTCTCAGGATTGGAGGCCACCACCTCCAACTCTCAGGATTTAGCTGAGCTCTTGGGTAGCAGGGCTCTTCCCAAATTCCCTGAATCAGTCTTGCAAGAGAAAGAAACAGGCAGGCGGCTCTCACAGCCACTCTGCACCCTTGGCTCGGACTCATTCTCTTCAGTGTGTGACAAGGCAGGCCTGATGCTCTGGAGCTTTCCCTGGGCCTGGCCAGCCCTTCTGCTGGGATGCCAGCTGCTACTCAGCCAATACAGTAGGACATGAAACAATATTCTGTGCCAGGCAGTGCCTGCTGGTGAGGCCCCAAGAGTGGCACAAATAACAGTTCCACTGGCAAGGGTCTGGGGCCAGAGCTGTGGGCTCTCAGCAAGGGAGGAGTGAGCAAAGAGCCATTTGCAGGCTCCCAGCAGTTGGCCCTGCATGTGGGCCCACAGCTGCCACATCCTAAGTGGCAGAGACCTTTCAAAAAGCCAACCATACAGACTACATTCACCGGGCCTTTCAAAGGCACAGAGGCCTCTCAAATGTGTGTGAGAAAGGCAGGTGTCTGGCTGAGGCAGAGGAAGTTGGTGGGGATTGTGGGGAGTGCTTTGATAAATCTACACCCTTTTATTTCTTAGGCTGGCCAGTAAGTATGAGGGCATTCGTTAAACTGTGTATAGTGTTTTACATGCCCTGAGCAATTTTTTTAAGTCAGGGAGAAACAGGACAGGGTAAACTAGAGGTGGAGCTATGTTCTGGTGACTGGTTCAACTATAACTGTTTAGGCACCCTGGTGAGAGACACAAACCAGTGGGATGGCAAGCCAGAAAAGCAGTAGACCCTTGATGTTTCCAAACAGGTGAGCCTGGGATCCTGCTAGTCGGGGTAACTGGGGGCCCCACAGTTCCACCCTGTGAGGGTACAAAGCCACTTACCCACGGCTTCCCTCACTACCTTATTTGACTTTATGAACTCTCAGCCTTCCCTTGGGGCTGGGAGCCTGGCGGGTATCTCTCTAGCCCTGAGAAGGGAGCATCTAGGGCAGACATGTCTACCTTTCTGCCTACCCAGGCAGAGTGCTGGGGCAGGCCAGAGGTGGGAAGAAAATAATCCCACAGCGTCTGCTTCCGCCTCATCCTACATGATCTAGTCAGTGGTCCCCAACCTTTCTGGCACCAGACATCAGTTTCGTGGAAGACAGTGTTTTCACAGACCCTTGAGTGTGTGAGTGTGGTCAAGTGGGGATAACTGAAGCCCATTACATTTAACGTGCACTTTATTACTGTTATGTTAGATTCTCATAAGGAGAGCAAACCTAGGTGGCTCCAGCGGGCACCAGTGGGCAGCTCATGATAAGTCTGGAACTCCTGTGAGAATGCATGACCTGCCCATCGGACAGTGCTTAGGGGTGGAGCTTAGCAGGAGCTCTAAGGGATGGGGCACGGCGTATGACGCTTCTTTCCTCACCTGTGCTCTCACCTCCTGCTGTTTTACCCATTACTAACAGCCAAGGACCAGAATGAGTTTGCAGCTCAGGGCTTGGGGCTCCCTGATCTACATTTTATGCCAGCCACCTGCCCATTAGTCTGTCCCACTGATCTTGCAGGCATCTGAAGCTCTCACTTGCGGGGGCTGTTTGGTTTCTTTCTTTTTTTTTTGAGGGGTTGGAGTGCTGAGGTTGACCTCAGTGCCTTGAGCATGCTAAGCACATAGTCTACCCCTGAGCGGCATCCCCAAGCCTGTTTGGTTTTTAAAAGGCCCTAGTGGGGAGGCTTGTTGTCAGTGAGCACATGCACGAACAGTCAGTGGGCATCTATCTGAAACTAGGCTGCTTACCTCTCTTCTCACACCACCAAGGCACTGAGCAGATAAGCCCCAAGATCCTCCCCATTCAAAGGTTCTGAGAGCCAGCTAAGGAAAAAATAAGGTCAGGATAATTCCTCTGTGACTCAGCAATTTTGGGTTAAGAAATGTTGAAATAGGGCCCATAGCTTCTGGCCATGACCCAGGGGTTTCCCCCTAAACTCACTCCCTCATCTTCCCAAAGGACGCAAGCAGGAAGAAGAAAAGACATTTAGGGTACTTCCAGTCCCTGCTTCTTGTTAGTAAACAGGCACGACTTCTCCCTCCCTGACACCTGCCTCCTACACTGCCCCAGCCCCTCCACACTGGCCCTCCTTCAGACAAACACATGGCAGTCTGGAGTAGGCTGGCTGCCCCTGCCCTGGCTCTCACCATTCTGCTGAACAGAAATCTCCCCTCAAGGGGCTGGAGATTTAGCTCAGCGGCATAAGCGCCTGCCTTGCAAGCAGGCAGTCGTGAGTTTGATCCCCGGTACCGATAAAAAGGAAAAAGACAAAAAGAAAAAAAAAAAGAAATCTCCCCTCAAGTCTCCCCAAGTGGTCACTGAGGAGGTGGCACCCCTCCCTGGTCCCTGCCCAAATCTTAGTGTTACAGGCAGCTTAGCTAGTTAGAAATATTATAGGCAGTAAGACAGGGCCTCAAAAGAGCCAGAGCAGAAGTTTAGATACCCTGCAGCCTTGGAAGAGACAATCACCTCTTGCTGTGGCCAGATCTCAAGACAAAAACACAAAGCAAATCCAACCACATCCTAAGGATCCTCAGTCCAAATAGTTCTGTATCACCCCGAGGAAGTCAGGAGTCAGCATCCAACCCCACAATAGGAAGAGTCACTGCTGTTAAGCATGCTGCTTACTACGTGACTGGCTCCCCTATTTGCTCCTAATTTAATCAATTTTATCCGAGCAATTATTCTTATTGAATGACCACAGTTCTGTCCTGCCTTACGCCCACCTTGCAAATTTCCATTTTTCCCAACTTTTGACCCATGTAACCTCATAATTTTTTCCAGGGATAAAAGCCCCTGGAAAAGACAGAGTCCTTGGCAACCTGCTCCGGACCCCTTCTGTCCCTCTCAAACAGAAGCTGTCTTTCTCTCAATAAATATATTCTACTCTTAACCTCTGTTGTTCCTAAAATTCATTCTTTGATTTTAGAGAACACGTACTCAGACCAGACACAGTAGGTCAGGAATTTCATTCCCCCGTATCATTAGGAGGGAGGTAACTCCGTTGGCCCTGCACACTGTCCTAGGATGCTGTGGAATGCCAGGAAGCCTGGTCTGCACGAATTGGGGTCCCTTTCCCATATTAGTACAAGTGCATGCCAACCTCACCATCCTTCCATTCCAGGGTCACCAGAGCCCATCTGACCTCTCAGCATACAGGCTGGTCAGTGACAGTGTCCCCAGTAACTTGGCTAGAGGTGAGATGCCCCAGAGAGGTCACAGGGCAGACAGAGACAAGAGGGACACAGTCTGGACAGGGACTTCTCTACATTGACACACATCAACCTTCTCCCCCTGCCCTGCGGCAAAAAGAAGCCCAAAGTTTCAAGACTGCTCTCTCACAGGCCAAGAGGAAAGGGCACAGGGTTGTTTAAGCTCCTGGGCAACTTTCTACTCTTTTTGTCTTGCCTTGGTCTACAAGATCCAGAGCAAGTGAGTGTGCGTTTTGCTATGGTTCCCACTTCAAAGCCAGAGTAGGTGGGTCCAAGGCAGCCTACTCATGAAACCAGCCTTTCTTTTACCACTTCTTTCCACAGAGTCAGGATAGCAGAGGGTGTTCCCCACTCCAAATGCTCTGCCCAATGTGCCCGGGGACTCTGTGAATGGACCTTGCCCCAGAAGCCCTGCCAGGCGCCTTACAAGGAGGCAAGCACTCTGGGGCTGTCCTCCAGTGACTCAGCAACCTCTCGGCCACAAGATGCTGAGTCAGAAGTAGAATGCTCACAAGTCAGAAACCTGCTGACATTTCAGCCCAAAAGAGGAAGCAGGCTGGATGGCTGCAGACCACTAAAGGCCTATGGGGCAAGAAGGTGTGTGGCCCTGACCTGGCAATCCCTTCCCCTGTGCCTCCCCACCACCAAGAAGTTGTGAGTCCATAGCCACCTCTAGCTGTCAAAGATCAAACCAGTGCCTCTCGCAGAAGGCAGATCCACAGCTGATCTGGGTCAGAGTCCAGGGGAAGCCTGGGGAGGAGGAAGAGCAAAGCTGGGTTAAAGGGATGTCCTGGGCAACTCCCTGGAGTTCAAGCATGGCCTTTTCCACAGCCTTAGGAGCTGGGAGATGAACGCTTCTGGGCGTGGACAGTCACATTAGAATATCTCAGTGTGGAGTAGAGGCTGACACACAGATAGGTGGCATCTGCTCCCGTTCCTTCCCTATGAGTAAACTGAGGCCAGGAGGCACTGACTGACAGGCTCAGCTAGGCAGTGTTCACCTCCATTTTCACCAGGCCAGACCCTGACCACGCATAGCTTCGATCCCCAAGATGGCCTAACCTCCGACCTTCCTACCACCCACCCACTTATCTCAGTCTCAGCAATGCAGCCACAGGCTGCCAGCCATGCCTTCCAAAGGGGAGCAGTGCCCCAGGAAATATGGGGTGGGAGTGTAGGTTGAGCAGAGACAGTGGGCTGCTGGGCCTCCTCAGCAGCCTACATGGCATGCAGGGGGGGAGGGGGGGGACCTGGAGGCACCTGACCATCTCACCTAGGGAATCCACCCTCCCTTTCTTGGTGACCCAATGCCTTGCTTGCATGGTTTAGGTTGGGGTCCTCCATGACCCTCTTACAAGTAAGCTCAGTGGCAATGAGTAAATTAGTTATTTTTAGTTATCCCACTTAAAGATATTCAGGCTGAGGATTTTGTAATGGAATAAAATCATCATATAAAAAAGCATTTCCTTATATCTACTTTTTCCAAAGTCCTTCCCCACACATACCATTTCATGCAGCAGCTGTAACCTTATGTGAATAATTTATGTACTCTAAGCCTTGGTTTTCTTATCTGTAAAATGGGCACAATAATGCCTGCTCTATAGGACCAGGGTAAGGATCAGATGATATAATAGAAGCTGACTGCTTAACACAGTACCTGACTTAATGGAAGCATTTGGTGGTAGAAGCCCAGTGCTCAACCTTGCCCTGAACACCTCCTTTCTCCCTGGTACAGAAGAAGGGGTGGGCTGGGGTTTGGTGGACTTTGCAGAGGAACCACAACCGACTAGTGGCAAGAGATACCAATGTAGGTGGGAAGAAAATATGCAGTTAACATCAGATCCCCAGTGCAGGGGGAGAGGGTGTCACACTGAAAAGAGGCCCGAGAGATTCCCCCAGGACACTCTTCCGGTCCTCTTCCTTTCCCACTTATTCAAGGGGCACATGAGCTGCACAAGAAGCCGCAGGGATGCCCCGAACCTGGGTCTTCTCAGCCAGCGGAGGGCGACCGCCCGGGACTGGCGGCCAGGTGACCAGACTCAGCGGCTCAGCGGGCAGTGCGACCCCTGGGTCCTGGACGCACCGCGGAGTGCCCAGGAGCCCGGGCCCGCGCGAGGCCTGCGCCGACAAGGGGCGTTTTGGGGTAAACACCCTGCCAGCTCCCGGAGGAGCGCGGCCGGCGAGGAGCCGCGCGAGGCTGACAGCGCCCGCCCCGCCCCGAGTCGCGCCCCGCGGGTACCTGCGAGCCCCCCCATGGCCGCAGTGCCCGGCTGTCGGTAGACCACGGTCCAGACGAGGAAGATGGAGAAGCCGGCCACGGAGCTGACGCCGGAGTAGGCGGCGCGGAGGCCGAGCTGCAGCCGTGACGGGGCCATGGGGCCGCGGCGGCGCCGGGCGGGTAGAGGGCGAGCGTAGCCGAGAGTCACAGGTGCGGGGCCCCGAGCCCGAGCCCGAGCCCGAGCCCGAGCCCGAGCCCGAGCCCGCGTCGCCGGCGCCCCGCGCTCCGCCCCGGCCCGCCCCCCGCGCCGCGCCGCCGGCACAGCGCCCTCCCCGGCCGGAGGCCGCCTGCGCCGCGAGCCGTGCCACCCGGGTGCCGCCGCGCCGGCCATGGGACTCCCGGGCCTCCCTTGGAAGCCCGCGAAGGTGCTGAGGATAAGCCAACTGTGGCGACTACTTTTTAAATTTTAAATTTTACCTCGAAATAGGAGACTTGTTTAAAATTTAAGATTTAATTTCTCCTTTAAAATTTTTTTTTTCTTTTCTTTTCTTTTTCTCCTTTAAAATTAAAAGGTAAAAAGGGCTGGGTGCGTAGCTCAGTGGTCATGCGCTGGTCCAGCATGCACAAAGCTCTGAGTTCCATCCCCAGCAGGCAAATAGTAATCAACAATAATGACAATGATAACGCTAACGAAATATGAAAGCAGACAGTGGAATGTAAGCTCTGTGAGTTGGGAAACCGCTGCTGTGGTCCACACCAGCACCTACCATATAGGAATCCCTTAAGCATCGGTTAACTAGGTAAATGTGAGTGAATGAAGGTAAGAATCAAATAACAATAAAGGGATTATCCAGAGGTGGCACATACCACATTACCAAAAGGCATTTGCCTTGCTTCAGAACAATGAGGGGGGGAGTTTCTATAAAAATTAGTAAAATCTACCAGGCATGGTGGTGCATACATGTAATCCCAGCACTCTGAGACAGAAGGCTAAAACTGGAGTATCACAAGTTAAACCCAGCCTCAGCACTTGTCTCAAAATTTAAAAAAATGAAGAGATCTCTGAATGTAGCTCAGTGTGAAGGCCCTGGTATCAATCCCCAGTATAACAAAAATAAATATTAAAAATTTATTCCACCCCTGCCTATTACATTTTGAATCTTGGAGTAGACTTTTTAAATGAGAAGTGATTTTAATGCAAGAGCTTGGCACTCCGCCTTCCTTTAGAAGCTGCTGATAGAGTTAAATGCTAGTCATTCAGCGCAGAGAGAGAGTTCTGTGACCCCGGACTGGCTGGGGAACACCATCTAACTGGCAGGGACAGCATGGTCGGGAAACTAAGTAATTTGTGGCTGGATTGGTAAATTTTGAGATGAGAAAGGCTCTGAACAGAAAAGGCCTTGTATCCTCTGTGTGAAAGCCACCTCTGTCCCTAGATGGCCAGGGGAGGGAAGTGACAATTCCGTGTTTTAGAAATATGGCCAGAAGGCGACCTGCCCTCGAAGTACTGGAAGCAGAGAGTTCAGATGCACAAGCGTTTCACTCACTGGTGTACTGTTGCCTGTAGAATGGGGACAGCTTGAAATTACTATTTCAAGAGTTGGGATGAGGTCAGGCATGGTGACACATACCTATAATCCCAACACTCAAGATGATGACACAGCCTAAGCTGCAGAACAAAACCTGCCTCAAAAAAAAAAAACAAAATACACACACACACACACACACACACACACACGAGTTGTGATGAGAGTCAGTACTGAGACCCAGGCTATTTTAGTACCCTACTCAATAGGGCCTTAGAAAGTATGCCTAGTGGTAGCAGATCACAGCAGTGGCAAAGATGCAGGGCCCTCAGGGTCAGTTCAGGCACCGGCAGGGAGAAGGAAAAGGAAACTGATTCCGGATAAATTTAAGTCAGTTGAACCTGAAGCTCAGGTAGAAACTCATTGGCTGGGCAGACAGAAAGGAGGAAAGCTAAAATACTGTGAGTGCACACTTTAGGAATATTGGAGTGTGGTGTGCAAATTTGGTGCGTTAAACAGTGAGAAAATCATGTAACAATAGTTTAAATCCAGGTTGTAAAAGGAAATCAAAATCTCGTTGAAACTTTTCTTTTTAACTGTGAAATGAATAAGGAGCTATCGAAGAGATTGGCCTGGAGGCCCAGCTTTTCTATTTATTGTGTGACCCTGTGTGACCCTGTGTGACCATGTTCCTGGAACTCAGAACTGCTCAGTGAAGTCTGCCACGTAGGAAGTAATCTGTATGTGTGCCCTGAAAAGTGGTAACCCCAGTCACTCATGACTACTGAGTGTACATAGGTGGCGAGCGTGACGGTAGAGCTGAATTTTTAATCATATTTAATTTTAATCCATTTTAATGTCTGCATGTGACTGAGTGGCTAATGTATTAGTAATCCTTGAACTCTCAGGACCCCTGTTACTCTATTTGTCTAAAAGGAATGATGACATCTCATCAAGTGTGCCATAAAGGTTAAGATATGTTAAGGTAGACATTGCACTTAAAGCACTCAACACAGTAGTTCAACAGATTATTAATGCTGTTGTTGAAATTGCTTGTCCTTATATTAGTGAGCCAGATAGTGCAAGACAAACTACCTGAGGAAAATTAGAGTGTGACATCCAGGTTAGGTTTGATGGGAAAAGAAAATCGTGAGGAGAGAGAATCCACATACCCTATCAGTGATAATTAAGATTTTATCTGGAGAAAGGCCTTGGGGATGGGAAAGAGTTAAGGATGGTGGGGCTGCCAGGCAGGCAGGTGTGCACCATCAGTTTCCTGATGGGGGTGCACACCCCCATCCCTACCTAGGACAGGCTGCCCTATGTCCACACAGTGTAAGACGGACAGCGAGCCTCTGCCTGCAGCAGCGACCACTACTGCTCACCAACACCTGTGTATGTTATCTGCTGGGCACAGGACTTAACTGAGTTTGAACTACACTTCCTGAGTTCCTTGAAGTTGAATTAATGTCATGGGTTTGAGTTCTAAGCAATGGAAGAAGGCAGGAGCAATGTGTGCCATTTTCAGGCTAGGGACTCATGACAGTCTCCCATACATCCCTGCTTCCATTCTCTGATAATTTCAGAGGTCAGATGCTGCGGGTGGCAGTACCATGCAACAGGAAGATGCTGGGACCTTAAATGAATGAATGGAGCAGAGCTGCTCTCCTATTCCCTATTGATGAACTTGCACATGAGCAAGAAATGTACCTTTATTGTATTATGTCACTGAGATTTGGGAGTTATTTGTTACCACCAACCTTATTATCCTAATATACTGTCTCTCATTCTATTTCATGGCTTTTAAACAGATTCTCTATGGAAAAATGGTTTCAGCCATTAATACCACTGAAGTTACCTTTGATCTTGGCTCTGCCAATACCAGCAACTCCCATCTGCGGACATGCTGCCTCCTGAGAAATTCCTTCTCCACTCCCCCAGAGGGCACATACCAGACGTCAGTCTTCTCCCACGTCAAGAACACACCCACTGAACTATCATCTGGTAGGTTTTTATTGGGCTTGTCAAGCCTTCCTTATCTCTTCTTCATCCAAAATAGAGGGACCTCTGCTGACCCTGGGGTCACATCTTGTTTACTGTGACCTCAGATCCAAACCTAGGTGTCATCCTGAGTCTTCCCTTCCCTTCACCCCTGTCAAGTACAATTCCCTGACAAATTCAGTTGGGTCTTCATTGTCCTCTCTCTCCAAGCCCATTGCTACCCTTATCCAACCACATCGTCACCATCTGCCTGTCAGCAACAGCTTCCTAAGTGGTCCCTCTCTGTTCATTCCTTCCCCTCCAACCCATTATCCACCAGCAGAATAACAACCAGAACATGGACCTGCCCTGCAGCAGTCCCTGATGCTTCCCGTGCTTTTGGGATACACTGATCAAGGTCTTGACAAATCCAACTGGCCTCACTTCAGATACATTGGTTTCTTCCTGTTTCTTAAATGTGCCACACTTGCTGCTGTCCCAGGGCCTGTGTACTTTGCTCCTGGGAAGCTCTTCTCTGGAATGCTCATTCTATTGGTCCCTCCTCATTCAAGTCTCAACTCACAGTTCCTTCCTAAACTGCAAGCCCCTCACCCCTATATAAAGTAGGGTCCCTCACTGTGGGTTTAAGACCTCCATAGCACTTACCACCTTGTGAAATTGTCTTATGAATTAATCCCTTCCACAGAGTCCTGCTACCCCCGTCTGCAACCACCATGAGGGGAGGGACTTTATCTCTGAGGGTGACCAATGTGTCCTGTTTTGCCCGGGACTTTTCTGGTTTTATCACTAAAAGTCCCATATCCCAAGAAGCACCTCACTGGAGAGAAAACCGTGATGATTAGTCCTCCCTATTGCCTTGGTTACTTCTGTATTCCCATACCAAGGACAATATCAGGTGCCTAGGTTGTTACTCAATAAATATCTTAGCAATAAATAAAAGAATGGCTGGCTGTCCACAGAGAATTCTTCTCTCCTGGCTCTAGAGGGCAGCCTTCCCCAACCTGTGCCTTCACGCTCAATTATGTAAGACTGGGTTAAAAACTGTGTATATCTGGTGAGTTCTGCAAGTATCCCTTCAGAGCCTGCCTGGTCCCCTTGTCCTCCACAGCCTTGTGGAATTCAAAGCTGAGGAGCATGGCTCTGGCAGCCCAAGGCTTTGCCTGATGCAGAGGTGCATTCCCTTGCCTTCCCACCCTCTCCCTTCCCCTCCTGCAGTTTCCTCTTCCTCCTGACTTCTGGACAAGAGAAAAAAAAGAACAAGACAGACTGTTATAGAAGGGAGCAGCAGGCAGCTCCCTTCTGGTGATGGAGAGCTCCCCGTCACCAGACATCCCAGCTCCTGAAGCTTTAGGAAGGACCTGGATCCAGGGGTCCTCCCCAGGGCTAGGGCTTCCTACTGTAACCAGAGGGCAATCTCTTGACTTCTTAAGGCAGAGTAAAACTCTCAAGTATGGCTTCTGCCTGCCACTGATAGCCTAAAACAGCACATGCAGGACATGATGCTAAATGAGAAGATCCTGAGCTGAAGCAACAGATACAGGATCCTGAGACAGGGGGATGCTGTCACAGCTGCAGCAGCCTAGAAAGGACATTGTTGCTCTCTGGGGACCACCATCTCTGGGCCTAAACCCCAACCACGGGTACCTGTTCTGATTTTCTTTCCCCTCTCCTGGGAGGTTGTTGCTG